TTTAGGGTGACTCATTGGTTGCTTTTCGATTTTAAGATCGCATGTTGAACTCCTGTAGTCGAGCTGGCCAATGTTTGCGCCTGTTGTTTTCGGTTTAACGCTGTTGTTGGTTCAGGTTTTGGTTTCTTCTGTTCCGCCGGTTTTAAAAGTTTCAGGGTCTTGTCACTTTAGACACCCTCTTTTCTACTCTATCTCTAGCATCTATGTCGTTTCCTGGTCAGTTAAATACAGTTCACTGTATCTAGGTGCTGCATTCCTTGTGGAATTTTTTGTCATTGAGTATCTCCTTCTTTCGGCTTAACGGATTCCCTCAAAACAGTCGCCTAACTGAAGAATTAATGGTAGTAGTGAAGAGAGCCGTGACCTAAGGTGAAGGAGAAATAACTACTTCGGCGGCGAATAGCCTTCGTTGCTCCGTCCCTTTGTATGACTTTCTCTTATAATGATTTACTACTTGCTAGTAATATATCTCTCTCAGTTGTTAGTGAAAGTGCTACTGCTTTTATTGCTCAGTTCTACTTGTTGCGTACTATTAGAATTAGTATCACGGCGGTATGTAATCAGAGATGAATGACGTTTGTACTATTGGTTTTAGTGTTGGCTTAACTACTACTAGTTGCTACTTTTTAGTTATATTCATATTACTGTTATTAAAAGTATTCCTGATTTTATTATTACTACTGATAGTATGACTCGTTCAGTTACTCTTTGCCTTCACGCTGTGTTTGAATATCATATCAGGTAGTCAGCTATGAGGTAACTTTTTTGTTGCTCTTATTATTACCGTAACCACGTCAAGACTTATTGCAACACTAAAGGCGCTCGCATATTATATTATGGAGGTACTCTAGCCCATTTTGATATGACATAACCAGAACATCATGCTGCCCTTGCTGTCCTTGTTGTTCAGAAAACAAAGATTTTCTGTTTTTTCTCAGCTAATTTTATCGAAACAACATGATATGAATACTTTGCTATGATTTGAAGCCAGGATTTGAAAGGTTTTTCATTCCTTATCCGATCTTGTTGAAGTTAGAAAGCGGCCTCTTATCATTGAACTGCTTCTCCTCCCATACTGTTAGCACTAGCAGTTGTTGATTGGAGGTGACAGTACTGACGATAAAGTTTATCTACTGTTGGTACTAGTATTAGTAGTGATGTTATTAGTAATAGTGCCAATAATACAGTTCGCAGTAGTAATCATATGAATAGTACTGATCGTACAGCTGCTAATTACCGTTAATGCTCCTAGTGTTACTTGTAGATGCCGACAAATTAGTGGCGCATTAATCTTTCATGGTGGATCATGCTTCGATTGAAATTAGTTCATGTCACATTTGTTACCTAACTTGATGTAGCAGAATCTGTGCATTAATTTGAATATCAAGACAAATATTTTGATTTATACCCGTCACAACAACTGCGGTCGGTTATTTGCATATAATTTTTTTTCGCACGGAGGACTTTTGAATAGTATACGTTTGATGAGTTCATTTGACTTTGAAATAAACTGTTTTAGGAATGCAGCAGTCTGGCCAGTACGGAAAAATGGTGAGTTTTTTTTTTGAGTTTTGGATATGTGACTATCAAGTGAAATAGACAATATTCTCAGTGAGATACATTGATCCCATGGTTATTGATAATCGAATGATAGCAGCTCGTTTTGAAACAGAATATCTTATTGACCCAATTTGTGTATTACTTTTAGCTGACAAGGGTAGGTTGTCATGGAGGTCAAGACACAATGCAGTGTTTAATGCATGAATCTTTCCAGTCGTCTGAAGTTCTGGCACATCGTGTCTCTGTCACCGCATAGTTCCATATTTTGTGTTCATCACAGACTTATTTGGTCATAATTTACCATGCATGAGAGAAGTAGTTTTTAAAATAAAACTTCCAGATTTGTGCGCCCTTCCCTTTTTGTGACATGAGGCATCGTCGCAGTTAAGTATGTTATTGCTACCCGTCGGGCGTAGTATTGGTCTTCC